TCATCCTCATCCTCATCCTCATCTCATCCTCATCCTCACCTCATCCTCATCCTCATCCTCATCCTCATCCTCATCCTCATCCTCATCCTCATCCTCATCCTCATCCTCATCCTCATCACATCATCATCATCATCATCATCATCATCATCATCATCATCATCATCATCATCATCATCATCATCATCATCATCATCATCATCATCCATCATCCATCATCCATCATCATCATCATCATCATCATCATCATCATCATCATCATCATCATCATCATCATCATCATCACCCGTTTCAGCATACTCCTCACACGTTTCGTGGCCCCATAGGGAGCCCCACCGAAGGTCCCAGTGCTACCGTCCGCATGGTTCACCCCCACCCAATACAGTGTTTCGTGGCCCCATAGGAAGCCCCACCGAAGGTCCCGGTGCTACCGTCCGCATGCGTCCCCCCCACCGAATACAGCGTTTCGTGACCCTATAGGGAACCCCACCGAAGGTCCCGGTGCTACCGTCTGCATGCGTCCCTCCCACCCAGTACAGCGCTTCGTGGCCCCATAGGGAGCCCCCCCGAAGGTCCCAGTGCTACCGTCCGCATGCGTCCCCCCCACCCAGTACAACGTTTCGTGGCCCCATAGGGAACCCCATCGAATGTCCCCGTGGCGCAGTCCGCATGCGTTCCACCCACCCAATACAGCGTTCCGTGGCCCCGCAGGGGGCCCCGCCGAAGGTCCCAGTGATACCGTTCGCATGCGTCCCCCACACACAGTACAGCGTTTCGTGGCCCCATAGGGAGAGCCACCGAAGGTCCCAGTGTTACCGTCTGCATGCGTCCCCCCCCCCCCCCCCCCCCCCGTACAGCGCTTCGTTGCCCCATAGAGAGCCCCACCGAAGCCCCTGGGACTGTCCGCGTGCGTCCCGGAAATCTAATTTGGCATTTTCACCCCACCCAATACGGCGTTTCGTGGCCCCATGGAGAGCCCCACCGGAGCCCCCAGTGGGACTGTCCGCGTGCGTCCCTGAAACACAACTTTGGTATATTCACATCACCCACTGCGGCGGTTCGTGACCCCGTAGAGAGCTCCACCGAAGCCCCCAGTGGGACCGTCCGCATGCGTCTCGGAAGCCCTATTTGGCATTTTCACCCACCCAGTACAACGCTTCGTGGCCCAAAAGGGAGCTCCGCCGAAACCCCCAGTGGGACCGTCCGCATGCGTCCCGGAAACCAAATTTGGCACACCCCTCATACGTTTCGTGGCCCCATAGGGAGCTCCACCGAAGCCACCACTGGGACGGCCCGCGTGCGTCCCACACACCAGGTTTTGCATTTTCTCCCCACCCAATACGGCGTTTCGTGGGCCCATAGGGAGTTCGCCCGACGGCCCCAGTTCTACCGCCCGCATGCGTTCACCCCCACCCAGTGCAGCGCTTCGTGGCCCCATAGGGAGCTCCACCGAAGGTCCCCGCAACTGCATATGGTTGGGTCCGTCGCCACGATCATGAAGAGACGGTCCCCGCGTCTCCTCCTCATGCTCCTCCTGGTCCCTCTTCTCCTCCTCTCACGCTTCTCCCCCACATGCGTCTCCCCCACCCAATACAACGTTTCGTGGCCCCATAGGGAGGTCCACCTAGGCCCCAGTGGTGTGTATCACATGCGTCTCCACCGCCCAGTACAGCGTTTCGTGGCCCCATAGGGAGGTCCACCTTGGGCCCCAGTGGTGTGTATCACATGCGTCTCCCCCGCCCAGTACAACGTTTCGTGGCCCCATAGGGAAGTCCACCTAAGGCCCCAATTGTGTGTATCACATGCGTCTCCCCCGCCCAGTACAACGTTTCGTGGCCCCATAGGGAGGTCCACCTAAGGTCCCAGTGGTGTGTATCACATGCACCTCCTTCACCCAGTCCAGCGTTTCGTGGCCCCATAGGAGCTCCGCCGAAGGTCCCCGTGGCGCACTCCGGATGCGTTTCCCTCAGCCAGTACAGCGTTTCGTGGCCTCATATGGAGCCCCGCCGGAGGTCCCCATGGCGCAGTCCGCATGCGTCTCCCCCACCCAGTGCAGCCAGCGTTTCGTGGCCCCAGAATGGGGCTCCGCCGAACGTCCCCGTGGCGCAGTCCGCATGCGTCTCCCCCACCCAATACAGCGTTCCGTGGCCCCATAGGGGCTCCGCCGAAGGTCCCCGCGGCGCAGTCCGCGTGCGTCTCACTCACCCAGTACAGCGTTTCGTGGCCCCATAGGGGCTCAGCCGAAGGTCCCCGTGGCGCAGTCCGCATCAGTACAACGTTTCGTGGCCCCATATGGGGCCCCACCGAAGGTCCCCGTGGCGCAGTCGGCATGCGTCTCCCCCACCCAGTACGACCGAAGGTTTCCGTGGCGCAGTCCGCATGCGTCTCCCCGCACCCAGTGCAGCGTTTCGTGGCCCCATAGTGGCTCCGCCGAAGGTCCCCGCGGCGCAGTCCGCGTGCGTTTCCACACCCAGTACAACGTTTCGTGGCCCTATAGGGGCTCCACCGAAGGTCCCCGTGGCGCAATCCGCATGCGGTTCCCCCGCCCAGTACAGCGTGTCGTGGCCCCATAGGGAGCCCCACCGAAGGCCCCCGTGGCGCAGTCCGCGTGCGTCTCCCCCACCCAATGCACCTCCGTCGGAGGCCGTCGGAGTTCCGCGCCTCGCTCGCCCGTCGTCACTCTGCCCAGCGGCAAGAGCCTTGCCCGCTATCAGCCAGCCAGCTAGCTCTCTTTGCTCCGCGCAGCGGACGACCCGCGCGCGTCGCTGGGACCCCTCGGGGGCGACCTGCGCGCGTCGCGGAGACTCCGCGCTGCGCTGCGCCCGCAGCCTTGGACTTTTGAGTGCGCGGGCAAAGAGGGAATAAAAACAGGGGAGGAAGCGGGCGCGATCCCCGCGGGGGGGCGCGACGACACTGGCGTCGCGGCGCGCGGGCGATGCCGTCGGGGAGTCCCGGGGAAGCTCCTTGCGGCGGCCACGCCCAGCGTCACGAGTACCCAGAGGCAGTCATTCTCAAACTATTGACATTCATATACACTTACACCATGCTTTGTCATACTCGCATTCATGCACGTAGACTCGCTCGCACGCAGATTTATTCACAGTCAGACGCGCTCGCGCTCAGATTCACCCGCGCTCAGTCTCCCCACGTACTCAGATCAATCATTTTCGTTCGCGTTGTGTACCACGCCGCTCATTTCGGCACACCCCTAGCACGGTTCGTTGCCTCATAGGGATAAACAGTGAATCACAATTGCGGTACTCACACTTGCATATTGTTGGGTCCTTCGTCAGGCATTTTTTTTTCTCCTCCTCCTCCTCCTCGAACATCCCTCTTCCATCACCGCCGCGACGATGATGAGCACGACGACGACGACAACAATCACGACGACGGCGACGATCTTAAATTCAACCATCAGAGCTGCCCCATAAGGCGTTCTGACCAAGGCCTCTCGTGGTGGCGAGGGTCCCCTGGAGGCACCCAATGGACGACGAACATTGTCGTCCTCGTCGTCGCCCGTGTCGGCCCCAAACACGTTCAGATCCTCGTCGTCCTTGCCGTCGTTGTCCTCGTCTTCGTCGTCGTCGCCCTTTCCAAATCTCCGACGTCGTGAATTTTGAGTCCGTGGGCCCTGGAACTCTCGATCCCTTCACCAGGGACTGGTTCTTCGTCCTGGGCCGTTACTGGATGATCCAGCCCGAAATCAACTTCCCAATGGACCCAAGTTGCGAAACAATTGCCGTCTCCTGCTTTTCGTGCCGCCAGATGCTTTTGGTCCAAGGGGCAATCGTCAACCCCTGGACCCGTCCCGGGCCTTCTTCCGCCCAGAATGTCGAAGCGGATCCAGCCGCGGCAACGAAGAGGCTCCAGGAGGTCACAAAGACACAAGCAAGTCAAAACACGTTGATCCTAGTCCTGGGCGACCGCCGTCGCCGTCGTTGTCGTCGTCGTCGTCGCCGTCGTCGTCGTCGTAGTCGTCGCCGTCGTCGTCGTCGTCGTCGTCGTCGTCGTTGTCGTCGTCGTCGTCGTCATCGCCGCCGCCGCCGCTGCCGCTGTAACCAGGGTCGTTGTGGTCGTTGTGGCCGTAGTTGTGGTCGTGGTCGTCGTCGCCGTCGTCGATGACAACCTCGACCCTCGGTCCTCGTGGACCATCACCACCGTCGTCGTCGTCGTCGTCGTCGTCGTCGTCGTCGTCGTCGTCGTCGTCGTCGTCGTCGTCGTGGTCGTTGTCGTGGTGGTCGCTTCCCATCGTCGTCGTTATCGCCGTCGCCGACGTCGACCCACAACCCTCGATGACCATCACCACCACCGTCGTCGTCGTCCTGGTCGTTATGGTCATCGTGGCCGTGGTCGTCACCGTTGTCGTCGTCGTCGCCGTCGCCGCCGCCGTCTTCGTCGGCCTCCCTATTCATCTGTTGCCTCTTTGCTCTCCCCTGTTATCTTCCTCCCTCTTCCTTCTTCTTCTCCTCCTCCCTATTTCTCCGCACAAGCCAGAAAGGCCACTCAAACTTGAGGCCGACGGGTATGTGTGGGGGTGCCGTGTTGCTGGCGCCAAGTGGGTGTTCCGCCCACCCACCAGGGTACAAAAAGGGTACCCCAGCCGTAGACGACGAAGACCCGATGTTCGACTGGCACAACCAACACCATCTTCGTCGTCGTCGTCGTCGTCGTCGTTGTCGTGTCGTCGTTGTCGTCGTGGTGGTGTTGGTCGTGGGCGTACTCGTTGTGGTATTCGTCGCCCCTGGTGGCTGCCACACCCAGGGTCTCTGGCGGCCCTTCGGGACGACTCGGGGACCCCCAGGATGCTCTTGACGAGGCGGAACTGCCGAAACGCATCCCGTGGTTGCACAACCCCTGGGAAACGACGACAACGCCCGGCTGGCCCGCACCGAAGGGCCGCTCCGGCGAACGGGCTACTGTCCCGCGCGGTCGAACCTCGAGGGGGCGCAGCGAGGGCCGACGACGATCTCGAAGACGACGGCCCCCGAGGGCCCCCCTGGGGCCTACGCTGAGCCAGCTGGCCTCCGTGGTGGCCGCCTGCCGCAGCGCCCACTCGCCCGTGCCCGCGCCGAGCTCCAGGAACGCGGGCCGCGAGGGGGCCTCTTGGGTCGCGGACCGGTCCCCCTCCCTCCCACTCTCTCAAGCCTCTGTCCTCCTCGTCCTCCTCCTCCTCTTCCTCCTCCTCCTCCTCTTCCTCCTCCTCCTCCTCTTCCTCCTCCTCCTCCTCCTCCTCCTCCTCCTCTCCTCCTCCCCTTCTTCCTCGGACCTCTTCGTCCTTCAACCTCCTCCTCCCTCCCTCCTGCCTCCGCCTCCCTCCTCCCTCCACCAGCCTCCTCCTCCTCCTCCTCCTCCTCCTCCTCATCCTTCCCCTCCTCCCTCGTTCCACTTCCCTCCTCCTTACTCGTCCTTCTCGTCCTTATTCCTTCTCCCTTCTCTCTTCCCTCCTCCCTTGCCCCTCACCTCCCTCCTCCCTCCTCCTCCTTCCTCCTCCTCCTCCTCCTTGTCCTCCTCCCCGTCCTGTTCCTCCTCCTTCTCCCTCTTCCCTCCTCCTCCCTCCCTCCTCTCTCCTCCCTCTTCCCTCCTTCATTTCCCTCAATCCTCCTCCCCCGTCTTCCCTTCTCCCTCCTTCCTCCTCCTTCCTCCCTCCCCTTCCTTTGCGTTAGACCAACCTGAGCGTGAAGCTGTGGCGAAAAAACGACTCGGTAAAAAAAACACCTGGCGGGCGCCGCGGAAAACGTATCCCTCCTCTTCCTCCTCCTCCTCCTCCTCTTCCTCCTCCTCCCGCCCCTCCCTCACTTCCCTCTCCCTTCCTCCTCCTTCCTCGTCCTCATCGTCCTTCTCGTCCTCCTCCCCCCTCCCTCCTCCCACATGCTTTCTCTCTTCGCTCCTCCCTCCCCCTCCTGGCTCCTCCCTTCTCCCTTCTTGTTCCTCCCTCCTCCCTCGTCCGTCCTTCCTCATCTATCCTCCTTCCTCCCTCCTCTCTTCTCGTCTCTTCTCCCTCCTCAATCTTTCTTCACACTTCCTTTCTCTTCTTTCCTTCCTCCTCCCTCCTCCTCCGTCCTCCGTCCTCCGTCCTCCCTCTTCCCTCCTCCTTCATCCTTCCCCCCTCCTTCCCTTCCTCCTTTTCTTTTCCCTTTCTCCCTCCCTCCCGTTCCTCGTGCCCCTACTCCTTCCCTTCCTCCCTTCCTCCCTATTCTTCCTCATCCTCTTCCTCTTCCTCCTCCTCCTCCTTGTCCTCCTCCTCCTTCTCCTTCTCCTCGTCCTCCTCCCTTCTCCTCCTCCTCGTCCTCCTCCTCCCCCTCTCCCCCTCCCCCTCCCCCTCCCCCTCCTCCTCCTCCTTCTCCTCCTCCTCAAGCTCCGTCCCCGCGCGCCCCCCCAGATTGCGGAGTCCCTCAGCAAGAACGTCAGCCGCGATGGGGGCAGCCGTGCGCGTGGGACAGCCATGACCACTAGGGTGCCCCCCCTCCCTGGGGGCTGGCGGGCACGCCTAGTGCTCTGGATCGCGGCGCTGTGGCGGCGCCCAGGTGGGGGAGGCGAGGCCGGACAGCAGGGAATTGTTCGTGGCGACGTACAACCCTCCGGATCTTGTCTCGGCAAGGAGCGGCGCGGCCTCGGCGGCGCTGAAAGGCATCGGCATCATCGGCATGCCAAGGACCACCGTCCGCGCGTGGTACGGAAAACAGCACCACAAGACGACGGCGCCCCACCACCACGTGGTCCGCTTCGGCTGCACCCGCCCGGCGATGGTCAACACGAGTTGTGGGTGCTCGGTCTTCCTTTCGAAGCGCTACTTCCACGTGAGCAGCATCAGGAGGACCGTTCCCCCGCCAGCTGGCCTTTGGGGACGGGGAAGCCTCGTGCTGGTGGAGTCGGGCCCTCTTCTATTGGCGCTACTGGTTCTTTACTACCCACCTCGGTCGTCGCGACCTGGAGAGGCGAAGCTTTGGAAGTCTACTTGAAAAGCACATCACAACCTGGGCCCGAGAGGCCCTTCTGCAGGTACATCAGAGGTTCACGCTATTAATTTCTACAGGCTTGAGTTCGGGCTTCAAACGGTATCATTCAGATGGTGGAGTGGTCGGATCCGTTGGCAGTGATCGCGAACCTTTTTGTGGCCAACTTTTTCATGAGCTGCTCGACCAGATGCGGATGGCGTCTGTCAACACCCACTAGGGCACTGGGAGCCCTTACTTCGGCATGCAGGGCGCCAACTCGCAGATCGACTTTGACTGCATCCCCCAGTCGGCGCTTGGTCTTGTGAGATGGGCCTCTGCTTGGAAGCGCACGGGGGAGGCGGTCAGGGCCATGAATGCAATGTTAGACCACATCCGAATTCTAATGAGGTTTCTGTCGGTCGTTCCAGTCAATACTCGACCCCCCCGTGAACGCTGGGACAAGCAACGGCTCGCAGAAGCCGTCATGCATGGGGCGGGGAGGGAGGAGTTCTTGGAAGATGTGCAGAACGCGCTGCCCGAGATATCTCTGTCACTAGATATACTGGAGTCTCGGCCGACGGCAAGCGGAAATAAGCTATTGACGATGGCTACGATTCGACAGGTCGCCCTCCGTCATTTCTCACAGCAGAACATTTGGCCCGAATACGAAGTGCAACTGGAACAGAAGAACTGAGACTACTTGAAGAAATGACGTGCGCTCTTGGCCCAGGTATCGGCATCTTCCCTGGAACAAGCGAAGCAGGACGCGTTGCAGACGGAAACTCGCTCCTTGGGAGAGGCCATCCGTAGTTTTCCCAGAGCCCTCCTCTCCCTTCGACGGCAACGCACTAAAGAAAGGCAACAATACACCCAGATGGAGCTGACGCAAATTTGGCGGATTCGAGATATGGTGATGGTATCTCGACTCGCACGCTCGCTGGCGAGGACGGGCATAGGAGTGAAGAATCGCAACTACCGTGCACATGCCTCCTGCAATCCGACGGCGGACGAGTGGGTGGGTGGGCTTGCTGGCCACAAGGTCGCCACCCCGTTCTGCCATGATATTAGCGACGAGCATCTGCAATCGCTGAAGAAAACGGACGAGCATGCCCACCCAGACGCGTACGAGGTGACGCAGGAGGTCCTCACCCGAGCCCGGACCGACTTCCGCATGACGCTGAAGACCCCCCGTCGCATGACGATTGGCAAATTCGCTCCCTCTTGGTCATGCCCGCCGGAGATGCTCAGAACGTTGGTGGCGCCATCCCGGATCAGCTCCCCAGCAGACAGCGCGAGGAAGACGACGGGTCTTGACTCCCGCCCGCCTCCGGTCATGGACGAGAGCCCGCAGGCCCCAGACCCGTGCGCTCGGGACCAGCTGCTCCACCTCGAGAGGTACGGCGCAGGGGTGGACCTGAACGGTGCTGTGGCGATTTCGCGGGCCGCTTTCGTCTCGATCTCGTTTTGCGTTGAATGCGGATTGAAGAAAAAACGAGGGAAAGCGAAAACAACACGAAAACGCAAAACACCGTTTTGGTTCAGCCCTGGTACGGCGAGCCCCGCCGACGTCTCTTCAGGATGCTGCTCCAAGTCCGACGGGTACGACAGCTCCCCCAGCAGGCCCCCCCTGTCCTGAGGCTTCGCCCCCCGGCAAGAAGAATGGCACGCCTGGACCTGGAGGCCACCGCCTCGTGCATGTGATGTTCGGCTGGTGGCGGGCGGTGGTCCGCGGAGGCCTTCCCCGAGGTGGGGCTTTTCGCTCGCCTGAGTGGGCCTTCGCTGCACGGGGCCGCCGACGAGAGCACCTGATGATGGCAGCGAGGATTGTGGCGCAAGAGCTACGGCGCCACCAACGCCTTCGGTTGTGGCAACGCGGACCTGACCGAGCAAGGCGTTCGTGCCCGCCTCGAAACCGCGGAGGAGGAGCTGGACGATGACGACGTTGATTTTGTTACGACGATCTCCAGGCGGCGAGGGCAGGTGCTGACGGTGATCGTGCCAGGCGCGGACACCGAGGTGGCGATCAACAATGGCACGGGAGGCTCCGAGCCTGATCTGTTCAAGTTCAATTACCACATTACCGTTCAGAAGTGGGCTTTGGTGGACCAGGCGGCGACGGGGAAGTCCATGCTGATTGGCTTCGACCATCGTCTGCCCACCGTTGACGTGAGCATCGGCGGCTTCATGGATGACATCTTCAAAACCCAAATGGTAGCAGCAGAGGCTCGTACGGCCAAGGACGTGGTGCTCTGCTCCCAAAGGAACGACGCGGACTTCGACCAGGCGCTGGCGGTGCGGGGGCATGGTGGGGCTACGAGCTGAAACACCTGGGCGCCTGGTTCAATGCAGCGAACTCTAACGCGAGCGAGCTGCAGGCGCGGCTGGCTGCTATCAACAAGGGCTGGATGATGGTGCAGGGCTTCTGGTATTCTACGTTACCGAAGCGCGTCTTATCTCTTTAGTGAATTGAGCAACGTCATCGGGTACAATCGCATCTTGCTGGACTGAGACCGGGGCGGGCCAGATCTGCAGCTCTATCTCACGGAAGCTACGATTGATAATGGGTGCAACGTTTAGCCTACAGGACGAGCACGCGAAGGTGATGACCACTCGTGAAGTATATCGTCATTGGAATCTTGCCCCCTTCGCGCTGGAAGCAACAGTTCAGCGCCTCCAAGCTTGGCAAGATATTGCACGTCATCACCGCAACCATGCCCACATACTGGAGGTCTTCTTTGGCGAGATGGCGTGGGAGGCGACGAGCGATTACCGCTGCCCGCCTACTCTTGTGGCCTCTGGGCAGTTGAATTCAGGTGCTGTTGTTCGCGCGTCAACTGTGACGCGATCTCGAAGTCCTCTGCGGTTGCCCAGAAGCGGAATCCTTTTCGCTGGCATGGGAGAGCCGCTCGATGAGGGTCTTGATTTGGGACGAGGATGTGAACGGCTTCTTTGTCTCCCTTGACTTTAAGTGCCTGCGGAGGGCCTTCTCTGCTGTACAATGGGCCCCGCCCAGTGCATTGGCGGAATCAGTACCCACAGCCTTGGACGGTGAAAACAGTTGGGAGGACCCCGAGGCTCGAGAGCTTGTATGCCAGATCCGAGGAGACCCTGAAGGCCCCATATGTGGATCCAAATGCAAAACACGTGCAGCATTATTAGCGCACGTATGCCAATCACGACAAGCAGGACACGGAGGACACAATATATTTCACACACCTGGCCGAGGAACTCATCCATAAACTGTGGCACGATATTCCAGACGAAGACGGAGACAGTACGGCACTAGCACGAGCATGGCACTCATGAGCAAAGTTTTTCCTCGAGTAGCATCGGCTACAGAAATGACTCGCCCCATCATTGTTTTGTTCGTTGAATCCATGCGGGATGTGTAGCATGTTCTTCTTCGAGTAGGGGGTCGACTACATACAAGAGTTATCCCATACTTGATTTGTTCGTCAATCCATAAACAATGCGTAGACGGTTCTTCTCCGAGTCGGGGTTCGACAGCAGAAGTGATTTACCTCAAACTGATTTGTTCGTCGAATCCAAAAGAAATGCGTGGAATGTTCTTCTTCGGGTCGAGGGTCGACTACACAAGTGATTTACCCCAACTTGTTTGGTTCGTCGCATCCATGAGTTATGCGTGCAATGTGCTGCCTCGGGTAGGGCACAGACTGCACACATGATGTGCACCATGCTTTGTTCGTCGGGCCCATCGGACATGCGTAGGCTGTTCTTCTTCGAGTAGGGGATCGACGACAGAAATGGCGTACCCCACTATTGACTTGTTCGTCGAATCCATGAGACGTGCGTATTCTGTTCTTCTTCGGTTCGGGGATCGGCTACAACAATGACCTACCCCAAAATTGGTTTGTTCGTCGAATCACGAACACATGAGACGAATGTTCTTCCTCGAGTAGGGCATCGACTGCAGAAGTGATTCGCCCCATCATTGTTTTGTTCGTCGAATCCACGCGACATGCGCAGCATGTTCTTCTTCGAATTGGGGGTCGACTAAATAGATGAATTGCACCAACATTGATTTGTTTGTGGAATCCATGGGCAATGCGTAGAAGGTTCTTCTCCGAGTCGGGATTCGAGTGCAGAAGTGATTTACCTCAAACTGATTTGTTCGTCGAATCCAAAAGAAATGTGTAGAACTTTCCTTGCCATGTAGGGTAGATAACGCTGGGCATCAGCTGGACCTCCCGCGTCTCGCGGAGCAGCGACAGCGCCCTCTGCCATTGTTGGCCTCTGTCGCGCTCGCTGACCCCGCCGCTGTAGCTGATGACCCTGGCCTCCATCCCCGCTTCAAACAACTCGATGAGGAGCGACAATGCCCATTGCCACTGCTGCCCTTTGCCTCGCTCGCTGGCAGTGGCAATGTACCGACCGGGGCTGATATTCACATACTGTCGGGATGTCTCGCGGAACGATTGCAGCACTGCAACCCACTTCTCTGTCCTTCCGCTCGCCTTTGTGGCCGCCTCGGCGTGAGACACGCCTGGTCGAGATCCCCGAAGGATGTTGGTCACCGAGGGAGGTCTTAAGCCATGGTGATTTCGAATCCTCCTCCTGATCCTCCTCCTCCTCTCTCTCCTCCCCCTGCTTCTCCTCCCTCCCCCTCCCCCTTCTCCTTCTTCTTCTTCTTCTTTCTTCCTCCTCCTCCTCCTCCTACCTCTGCTGCTCCTCACTTCTATGTTTTGCCCGG